GACTGTGGTGGGCACATGAAAATGGGATAGGGACAGGAGATGGGTGGGTGTAATTATAGCGTGGTCTTTAATTGCAGAAGAGCCCACCCCTAGGGCTGTCGATTCGGGGAAGCTCCATCAGATGAGTTCACCACCACGTTACGCTGTTTCTGGAGCTTCCTTTAAGAAACACAAGTTGGCAATGGAATCCCCTCACCCGTAGTCACACAAATCCCACCAAGAACCTTTGGTGTGACCTGCCAGTCTGCTGAGAGGCTTGGTGGAAACAACAGGTCCTTACCCCAAGTGAGGATGTCACAAGTGATGTCAGCATGAAGTACAGGGACCCAGTAGAAATGACAGTGAAAGCTTGGTCTGATGCTGATGTTCCCCTGGAGAAGTGGATGAGGTGCTGCTCTCCTGGTCTCCAGCCAGGACCACAGGCCATGGCAGAAGCCCTCAGTGTTGGCTGTACTTGAGGAAACAGCACCATCTACGTGCAGCCCTGGTTTATGAGCAACTTTATAGAGAAGACAATGTGGCCTCCACAGTTGGGTGTCTGTTACCCATCAGCAAGGCTGGAGATCCCATCCTGGAGCCAAGGGCTTGGTGTAGCATCCTCTGTTGTCCTAGGTCACGTTGGGTTAGACCTTACCTCCAGGCACCTCCCTGCAGCCCACAGGTAATGCCTGACTCGATGATCTCAAAGGTCTTGCCCAACCAAACAGCGTTTGCTCCAAGTTTTGGGGTGATGGGTACAAGTTGCACAACATGTGTGCAGGGACCAGGGGAGGGAAGAGGCACGAAGGGTCCACAGACAGGTCAGACAGCCCCAGGACAGGGGCTTCACCTCACCCTTTCCATGGTCTGTCCTTCCACTCCCACGCGTGGACATGACGACATCCACCCTGAGGTCTGATACCTGCACAGGTCTCAGCCCCTGCCCCACATCTCCCCATAGCTGGCTCAGACAGATCCCAGCCTGTTGGGGTCCCAGAGGTGTCTGGGGGAGGCAGAGGTCCCAGGAAGGTGTTGGCCCCACAGGACCAAGGGGGAGAAAGCCAGAAGGACCTCAGCTTTGCTCTGGCCAGGACAGGTGTCCCCACCCCAGCCCATCCCCACCTCTGTGGGGAGAGTAGCTGGGCCAGAGGGCAGGGGCATGGGGCTAACTCCAAACCCAGCTCAGCACCCCTCAGGATTTGACCTTCATGCCTCCTAGGTGACAGAATTGACCTAGGACCACCCCCATTCCAGCTTTACCACAGGCTTGGGAGAAATGGAAAAGATCTTCTCTATTGAAGCTGCTGGAAAAAGGGTACAAGGGGTGGTCTGGGGCATCCACAGCACGATGGGTGGTCTGGGGCATCCAAAGCTCTCATGGAGCAACTGCTACTTCTTCTTGGCACTTTTCTTCTTGCTCTCAATCAGGTGCAGCCCCTGCTTCTTGATGTCTTCCCGGGTGAGGACAACGCCATAGTCTTTGTCAGCAAAATCAAAGGGGTCTGGAGGAAAGAGAGGAGGGGAACAGGTTGTGG